ATTCCCATGGTTCCATATTATGAAGGAGTCGTCTACGTATCTCAACTAGACTTCGGGGCTTCATGCGAGCTTCTTCAATGGCCAGAGTTTCAAACCACTCCATATATATATATGTTGGCTATAACCGGTGAAAGTGACGATCCCATTGGCAGTCCCTCATCTTGCAATTGGAAATAGCAGTTCCGTACACAGCATCCTAGTAATTCCATAATTACTTGTATCGGTAAGTTCGTTCTATCTTCCAGGTTTCCGTCTTCAGATAGCTTCCTATGTATGATTTGAAGTGCTTCCTCGACATGAAGTAGAGTGTAGAGGCTTTCCACGTCGAAACTGATGGGTTGATCTTGCTCTGTGACTTTGATTACCTTTAGTAGTTCGACAAAATGCTTTGAATTCCTTATAAAAGATTGAAGTTTTTTCTTGTAATGGTTGTATCATTGGCAGTAAAATTGTATCATTGGCAGTAAAAATCTAGACAAGTTTTGAGTAGCTGAATTTCTGGAGCTAATGATCGTTCTGAACGAAACATCCTTCTTGTGGATTTTGGGTAGTCCATATAAGTGCGGGGGTCCATATGGTGCGGTGTTAGTGATAATCTCTCCTTTTTCGAAAAATAGACTTGGTTCCTCTTCAAAGTCTGGTACAACTTCCTTTCAATTGATGCAGTAGTGCCCCGTACGATCTTCTGCGTAGAGATACGCCACATATGGAAACCCATAATCAAACGGAAAACGGCCAACTCCCGCCATACGGTCATCTCCCACTAAACCGGTGAAGCGGAGAGAGGAAAGATAGGATAAGTGAATGCACTCGAATGACCTATAAGTAGTCATCTCTCGGAGGAATAAGCCCAGTCATAATCCGAAGACGATTTTGATCTTTTATATCTTGTTAATTGTTCAATTTTCAATTGTTGCTTGTATTTGTTTCATTGTAATTTCAGTTCAGGGTTGTTTGCTTAATATAATTGTTATTTTCAGTTATTCTTTTAAATTTTATTGATTCTTTCAGCGATGTCAATTCATTTTATATCATACTAGTACTATGTTGCTGTATCGCTGCTGTTCCATTGTTTTGAAAGAATCAGAATCAACGAACTCAGGCGTGCGCAGCGTTATAGAACAGTGTTTCAAAAAATTTTTCTGCAGCGCCATCTAGTGGCGAGTTACAGAAAAATTTATAGCCTAAAAACCTTCTCTATGAAAAATTAATTATACATGTCAGGTTTCATCACGATCGGTTGAGCGATGTAGAAGTTTATCACTTACCAACTAACCAACCAACCAACCAACAAACATCCATTTTTATATATTAGATTAGACAAGTGAAGTCCGAATTAATGAAAGGTACAATGAAAATACATATTGTGAAAAACCAGAAACGCAAAGACATTTATTTGGCATCATGACATCATTTATAATCTTCTTGGTTGACAAAAGATGACTCAAAATAGGGTTATGGTGGTAGAAAATGTATATCTATCATATCACTTGACATCTAAAGTTACACAAATTATACACTTACCATTGCTTTCAGTAGATGGTACGTCAGGGCATGCCTGGTATTTCAGTACCAACCTGGAATCGTCAGTACAACTTTCAGCCTTGCTGGGTGGGTTACTGCAATCTCCTGTCATCCTATTGTAGCTAAACGTAAATGGAGCGCTTTTGAAAGGACACGGTATGGGTTTTGCCTCAGGGTTCTTTCGGAATAAGCTGTAGAGAGGCGCATCGCCAGTGATGAGCTGACATATTTCATTAAGAGACGCTTTTGCTTCGCAGTACGCTGCAATGAGATTTAAATTTATACACTGAATTTGACAAGTGAAGTATTGTCTTACTTTCTTTGTACTGGAGAACGCTGCTGTGTTTCGGATGAAGTACCATACATCTGTAGCAATCTTCTGATCTGCAAATATATGAGAATGTATTAATTTTCAATACATGAAAAATGGAAAATAGTAAGTTTGGCAAAACAAAAGATGCAACAGAATGAAAAATTGCAGCAGTAGAGCCTTGAATAGCAATATAGCAGATCAGTAGATTTTAACCCATAGACATTATGTCAGCTGGTTATTATTTTGAAATAAAATGGTTTGAGCGGTCTTATAACAAGCATCTTGTGTGAACAACAACTGGATGAAAATGCATTGATATGGTACATCGATAGTTCCATCCTGCATGAAACTATCGTTAATGCATGTTGTAGAGAAAATACATGTTGTAGAAATGTATCTGCAAATAATTTTACTAGAAATAGACTCGGATACTAAGTCATGATGTAATGAAAGGTAATAAAGAAACTGAAATCTTCGAGAGGGAAAGAGCCAATATCGCTCAACCTAGCCTAGAAGTAGTTAATGCATCTTCTAAAACAAGATTAAATGAAATATCACCGTGGTGAATATACTGAAATAGTTGTTCTATCTATAAATTTGACTGCATCGAGTGTTGCCACTAACGTAAATGGTGGGAGCGAACACGATACCCCCATTACAAGGATCACATGCTGAGACTTGCAACGTAGGTCAATGAACGCATCTCTGAATTTACCAATAAAAGGTGGCAGGGTAAGCTTAAAAGTTTTAGTGTGAAAGATCACTCTTCGAGGTCATACCTACTATACAGAAGCATCAGGTACACGGGATGATGGACCACCAAAAGGCTCAGTTCTTCGGGGAGTACTTTGCCGGGATCCACCGTGTAAAACCAGACGATTGTATCGAGCATGAGAATGCCACCAGGGGCGCCGATATGGTCAGGAACAGACCTGTTTCGGCCATGACGAAGCATGCCCTATTAGAGTGGTTTACTAACTACGATGAGATTGTAGAGACCATTTGGGAAAGAACAAAGCCTCAGGGATTGATGGAATTGAGACGGGTTTACTCCGCAATCCCCCTCGTAGAGGTCTTGTGCAGTTAGTACATATTGCAAACGCGATTATCAGACATAATTATTATCCGAATTGTCTAAAACGTGAGGAGGTGGTGCTCATCCACAAAGCCGTTAAAGCTAGATACTTGATTGATATCTATCGCTCGATCTCGCTGCTCAGTACGGTAGCGAAGGTCGTCTGTATAAAATTTTGCTGAGTAGACTTCTCCGCCCGGAGGAGCAATTCGGATTCCGGTTTCCTCCAGAGGAAGAATACAATTTGGTCCTGTTGGTCATTCAGAAAGCCTTTGACAAGGTATGCCATTCCCCCCCCTTTCTATACCTATTCTTCTTTCTTCCCTCTCCTGACTTCCGTATGGGGGAGAATGTTTCTGTATTGTATATTGTAAATAGATTTCACTGGTGTGAAAGACATTTTTATTTTGAAGATTGATTTGGAGGTTAGACAATAGAAGCGATTGAATAAGTGAAATAAATGTAGTCATTGTGAAGTTATTGAAGTATAATATAGTAATGTTGAGTTGTAATTGGAGTTATTAAATGATATTGTTGAATTTGATTAGGCGTATTATTATTATTATTAAAATTCACATGGGAATAAAACCAATGACAGCGTCGAGATGAGTGGTTGAAGAAAAAAGAGGAAATCGAATTCAGAGTGCATGTTGACGACGACAAGAAGTGTGGACAGAATAAGAAAGAAAAAGAAATGAAGACCAAGAGAGAGTGCTTGAACCATTAGAATGGAGGGGAAAGAAAAAAATACCAAGATATGTTGCTAAAACAACATGAGACCAGGGATGAAAAAAAGAAAAATAGACTGATGAAACATGTGTGTCAACAACAAGCAGAAAGAAAGTACGACTAAGAGGAGCAAAATAAACTCCAGCAACTGGTATTAGCCAAGGTTTGCGTAGGTGAGTTACCAGAAAGTCAAGGCAATCTGAGTCTATAATGACAAGAATCATTTGTTCATTCGATGCGAGAGGTTCTAGTTCCATACAAATTTTTCACCAATTGCAACGAACATCAATTTTGTCACAACCGAAAACGAACGATTCGGAAGTGGAAAAAGAAAGAAATAAATAAAATAATTCGTTTCCAGTTGGAATAAAACTCTGTTTAAAAAAATCTGTTTTTCCGTTAATCAGCTGTTCCGTTAATCATTCAATATAATCGTTTTTTCATTTATCATTTTTGCATATGCGTTGCAATGATATCTATACTCTCCGATTGAACGAGTTTTCATCAATAAGCATCCTAACACGGTTGCTCATTTCAATGAATCTATCCAATTTCCTCAACTTTGATGGGGAACAACCAAAGGAATACGACTCTAGGTTATATACGCAATAACAGAAAATTGCAAAAATCCAGTTATAGCGGAATAATGTACCGAGAGAAATAAGAATGCATATGTATGTGAACATGAAAATGATGAAATATTTCAATTTCACCTGGGAAAGTTTCCGGAATCCAAATGGGAAATGGGAAAATTTATATTTAATAATAAAGTTTGTCGGAAATGGAATTTGGCAAAGTATTATAATGATATGAACGTATGCTATTAGGTAAAGTTTAATTATGTGCCAGGCCAGACCAGTGTTGGATTTTAATGGACTTCGAGTTATTTGAATTCAGAACGTTAAATATGTTTGGGGTGGTTGGGTTCAAATTAGAACTCCACCGTACACAGTATTTGGACGCACATTATTACGATTCCGTGTTTTAGGATATAAATTCATATGCAAAATAGTCGGTATTTTTTTTCTACAAAGAAGAAGCATTCCTAAACTAACTTTAATCTGTGAATGAATAAAAACTAAATATTTTCCGATTAACAATATAAATAATACCTAAAGGATGTACTAACTTGTCGTAAACCAGAAACTTGTCTCCTTGTTCTTCATAGCATTCTCCTTTAGTTTCAATGTATGAACTATTGATGAGTAGGTAGTTTGGAACTCCACTTTGGAACCATCTGCCTTGCCATGTTTTCTTGAATTGACATCCACCTGAAAAAAGAAACAAACAAATTAACTAACATAATACCAGAAAACGAAGTAATTAAGTATAACTCAAAATTTACTTTTAAACAATGTATTATCCCAGATTTTCGTATGGCGTTTTCCACTTCTACTTACATCCTCAACGACATTTTTGTGAACTAACATTTTTGTCTCGACCTCCAAATATTGAATATTAAAGAAAGGTCTCCTGTTATATTTTTAAATATTGCTTCAAATGAAAAGAAAAAGTTCACAGTTGTGTCAAATCGGGTGATATGAGAAGTCAATTATACTCCAAATCTTATTCTATAACTTGGCATCCAAGTCTTTATGTAGGTATTAATGGGCCAAAAAACTGATACTTTGGTTTTTGTTTATCATATAATATTCGTGGAAAAAGAAAGGATATTGTTCTGAAATGGAAATACTGAGATGTCATGGAAGCAACTAAAATTTGATGATTTCAGTTTCAGTATTTTTAAAGTATACAGAAAAAATGGTCAGTCCACTGACATTCTCAAGTGACTCAAATATTTCATAACTTCTGAAAAGTAAAAGAAATAATTGAAACGTGAACTGAAACCAGGGATAAGTCGTGCCTGTGTTCGGGGTTCAGAACAGTAATTTTCATTTCGAAAAATGAAATATCAGGTGAATTTTTTTTCTGTTTTTATTTCAAAAGATATTTCTGGATCTATATCAAGTGCACGTTGGAAGGTAAGACCACGTTAATCGTTAGTTCGCACTAGTTTCGATTTCTGAAGGTGGTCGTCGTGGAGGGGAGAAAAGCGACAGCTGGTTAACGGTAAACATATTTAACCGAAATTTGAAGATGATGAAAACACAATTTTTAAATAGTTGATTGTTGAAAATATAACCAAAAAAGTCAAGAAAAATCTTCCAAATAATTATTGATCATTTGCTTTTCCTTCAGTGAAATCAAAAATCATGCAAAAAGTTGTTAATGAACACAGTCAAATATTTGAAATGCTTCATCATCTTAAGCGATCGTCAGTTTGGTTTCTAGAGGCAAAGATCAACAGGAAACCCAATTTCGGACCAGCAAGCAACCCAACAGGCAACCCAATTTTGAAACCAACAACAATTTTCTAACCATACTTTTTGGACTACAGTTTTGGAACCACAACCCAATTTTGCAACTAAATTTTGGAACAGCAGGCAACCCAATTTCGAAACAATCAATTTTGGAATAAAGAATTATTAATTAACTTCGATACCAAGGTTTGCCTGAAATTCATTATTAGTAGTTCTCTAGTTTTCTGAAAGACCTTTCTTCAAGTAGCTATCGATGGTTCTCCTTTGGATGATTTTAATTCTACTGAGAACGGTATATTTCAGAAGTACGCGGTAAACCACAGCTTAATACCAACTTACTTTTGAATAAATCTTTCAGTTGGAAACCTTCTTCCTTGTGGAATAAACTTTCGGAGATAGGTTTTCCAAAATCACCAAAATAAGCACTGCTCCCAAACACCAGGACTGCAACACTCTTTTCGACGCACTTTTTACCAACCAAGTTGGCATCTTCAGGAAATGAATTAGACTGAAGATGCCAACTTTGTTAATGAAACACGCATCGAGAAGAGTGTTGCACTTCTGGTGATCGGGAGCAGTTCTTGTTTTTGATGTATTCTATGCCAAAGGTTCCATCACTACTTTCGCACAGACACCGTTTCCGGAGCCTTTTCAGAGGAATTCCAAATGACTGAATAACCATGATCGAATGCCTTTAAACATGCTAATCCATTTCTGTGTTTCATATTTCCCACGAATATTTCCTTTGTTGAATAATTAATAAAGATATTCGAGATTTGTTTTCTGGTAATCCCCTAAACCCACATTTGTTGCTGAAAAGGCAGTGACAAAGAGAATTTCTAATTGCCACTTAATATCCTTAACAGAACTACATCTCTGACGTATTGACAATAATATCTAGGATTTCCCAGACTTTCTCTTATATATACTATAATATTCTCTATGTTTAACTAGAGAATCCACTTTGTTTCGAGAATTGACTCTGAATTAATGCTATGAAGTTGAATTTCATCTTGCCGCACTTTACATACTAAAAAAAGATATGACATTCTCAAATTCGAATAAGTATGAGGGGATTTAGGAAATGTAATCTACAAATAAATAATAGATTGTGGCTTGATGTAACTAATGCCTTTTAATAAGTCTGAAATCAGAATAAATCTATTTGTAAAAAAGCGTGGGGTGCTAAATATCTATTGTTATAAATACTTGGTTAGGAGCTGTTTGCCAGATTGGTAAACAGCTCCAACCTAACCTAACATAATCGATGAATATAACATTTTTGTTTGTGAAAAATTTCTGAATTCACGCAGTAACTTATCGGGTCGAACTAAATAGTTTGCCCTTCTACACCTGTATAAAGTTCTCCACTATAATTTTCTTTTTTTTCAGATTATTGAAAGTTAAAATCCCTAACAAGGTCGATGAAAAATTCATTTATGTACTTTTGAAAAATTGATCTGGAAGTGAAACAGCATTTTTGTGATTTTGAAAAACTTTGTCTTTTTTCAAAATGACTCAAAAACTTATAATTGCAGTATCAATAAATACACCTTGAAGCTACATCTTGAGTATCATTAATAGTTTTTGAGTTATTTCGAAAGGGGGCATTATTTAAAGAAAATAAGCATTTCAAATCGATAATACGTCATAACTCGCTTAGTTTTGATGTAGAAACAAAAGTATTACGAAACTTTAAAAAAGTTTCTATGAGTTTCCCTCTTAAAATGCGTGGTTTTTTGGTTACTTGATGTTGAAACTTTCAATATTGGCGTTTAATGAATAAAAACCAGTATTACGTTTGTATTGAGTATATAGACACCATAATCCCACCATTCATTCATGAATTTGGAAAGCGATGCTGGTAATATTTGGGAACATTTCTATATAATGAAAATTGCAGTAATAAACAAGCTGAATTCCCAACTTCATTAAGAATACTCTATATTATACATTATATGCATTATATATTCCAGCAAATACTGGAATTTTACTTGTAAGTTCAATCGTCTTTGAAGCAATAATAATTTTTGAGGCTTAATTTTCGAGGTCCCAATATAGGATCCACAGCAACATGAGATCTAGAACATGCCTGAGGCGACAATTTCTTTCACGTTGAGATTGCTCTTCCACTCCTTTTAGAGAGACGATCCACAGCTCTTGGCCATTCAGCGATAGGGGGGCATATCTGTCAGATCCCTGGTAGCTGTGGATCATTTTCTAAAGGAAGTGGAAGTACGCAGTATTCTGAAATTGTCGCCTGGTACATACCGACCAATCAGCAGTAGCGGAACACGCACTAAGAAAAAGCAAACACGTTAAAAAAGACCTAAGTGCTTGATAGAAATCAGAGATACTAGGGAGGTGATTGAAATTCAGAAACACATCAACTGTAAGGATGAAATCGACATAAATAATTCTTTCTATCTGTACCAAACTGCACATGTATCAGGCCATTCAATGCAACTATAAGAACGAAGCCACGCCTACCAGCGATGGAATAAAACATTAGACCAGAAGACCTGCAGACCACCGTCGAAAGATACGAAAAATAGCTACCACAGTGAAATTTTACACATTTTAACCATTTCAATTCGTTATCTACAATATCAAAACCAATAAGATTAATTTGCTTGACTCATTTTTGATTCGCTTTATTTTAACTTTCATATTCATCACCCGGTATTTAAATACTTCACTTATAAAACAGATGTCTAGGAATTCATCATAAAACCATCGAATTATTTTTTCCCACCACGCAACGCTTCTTTAGTACTAGTGAAAATCATGTATTTTTTTTCTAATTGCGCTGCATTAAAAATTCATCTTCGAACATCAAAGCGGCGTCAGCTTCAAAAATATAATTCGTAATTCACAAAAACAAAAAAAGATACATAATAAAGTGTACATCCTACATGAAAGGAACAGCCCCATTTAAATTTCATGAGCGTATTCAAATCTTTCGCCTGAAAGAGTCCCTCTTTCCACATCAAATGAAAGTCAGAGGAATACTCTTAGGAATTTCGTTATGATTATGTCAGAATATCGGGCTTTTGGTAGGCGTTTTTGAAATTAAATCAATAGGAAGTCCGCTCCGATACTCTTTCAGGCAAATTATTAATTATCTTCTGCCTTATTCGTTACTCCAGTAAATAAAATGTTGAGTATTTCTTTGTATGTAATCATTTGCGAGTGTCATTTGAAAGATTTCCGAAAATGCAATAGAGAATTCAATATAATTTGATAATTTAATTAATATGTGAACCTGTTAATTTGCAATTGGCTGACGTCAATGTTTTGGTTGGTTTCCGGGTTTTTCTGTGGTCTTCTTTGGTTACAATCTCCAAACGTCTCAACTGCAACTGCGGCAGTCATCTTCAGCGGCATGATCGAAGAACTCTTTTTGACGTATCAACAGTTTTAATTGATACGTCAAGAAGAGTACTTCGACCACGCCACTGAAGATGACTGTCGCAGTTGCAGTTGAAACGTTTGGAGATTGTAACTAAAGAAGACCACGGCAAAACCCAGAAACCAACCAAAACATCATTTTGAATTCAATAACACAATATATAACTAGTAAAAAAGGCCTCGTGATGGGTAATATTCTGAGCCCTTCTCGCTGAAATTTTCATGTACAATTTCGAAAAAACTACTCCGCAATATCCAATTGTTCAAAAATGTATTCATTGAATTATTGGTACAGGTATGCTGACGGTATTATAGCCTGCTTCACAGGAACACATGAACAATGTCATTAATTCCTTCAATCTGTTAAAAAAAATCTGTTTTTTCGTTAACCAGTTGTCGCACCCCTACAAACGACAACCCTCAGAAGTTGAAACTTGTGCGAGCTAACGATTAACGAGGTCTTACATTTTAACGTGTGATTCCTAACACGGGTTGCACGATAGCAAGTGAAAATCGATCGTTCACACTGGGGTTTTAACCACCG